ACCATGGTAATGTACATGAGGAACTATCAGATACCATGGTAATGTACATGGGGAACTATCAGGTACCATGGTAATGTACATGGGGAACTATCAGGTACCATGGTAATGTACATGGGGAACTATCAGGTACCATGGTAATGTACATGGGTAATGTACATGGGGAACTACATGTATCAGGTACCATGGTAATGTACATGAGGAACTATCAGGTACCATGGTAATGTACATGAGGAACTATCAGGTACCATGGTAATGTACATGGGGAACTACATGTATCAGGTACCATGGTAATGTACATGAGGAACTATCAGGTACCATGGTAATGTAGATGGGTAACTATCAGGTACCATGGTATTAATGTACATGGGGAACTATCAGGTACCACCATGATAAACAAAATACAACTAAATGTTGAAGGGTTTTCGTAAACGTTAAAAGGTTTTGCAACTCCTTTAATCAAGAGCGTTACAGTAGCAGTAAAACCTTCACAATATAAACTACAATAAACATTTTCATTATAAAGAGTTTTATACTACAAGCCGCCTCAGCCTACCTGTTAGAAGCGAGTGATAAGCTGCGAGATGATTGTACTGATGAAGGACGAGATCCCAGGCGGCTGGGTGAGGGTGGTGCAGGTAATCCAGCCTGATTAAAATACAGTTGTGTTGCAGCCGACATATCACCATGCGTCTGAACTACAACACCAATCTGTTTCATGGTATCTGTATTAAAATCACGAATCTCTCTTAGCTCTATATCTCTTTCCTCGTGTGTCTCTCCTTTCACTTTCTTCGCACTCCTGATATCTCGTACCATACGACTGTTGTGTTTTCTTGTTCTCTCTTGCTTCGCTTTCTGATCATTCAGCTCGTTCTCCAAATGCGCCATCTTGGTTTGTCGTTCCTTGAGTAGTTCCACTAAATCTTGTTCATCTTTAGCTAACGTATTTAAAGAACTGTTCATTGTTTCCAGGTCTTCCTGGACTTCACGGATCTGTCTTCGTTTGAACTTATATTTCTCCATCATTGCTCTGAGTTGTTCTTCCAGTTTTTCTTTCTCTTCGTATTCGTCACTTGTCTGGTCGACTTTGTTAAAACTCTTGCGGTAATTCTCATTTCGGCCGTTCATCAGACGCAGCGTATTCTCCAGCGCTCTGAAATTTATTTTAAAATTTGATCAAATTCCCAAACATTCATGAGGAAAAGACTAGAAAAGAAATCACTACCATGTCGGTGGTTTCTGGTGATTGTTCATTTACATAAACTTTAGCTTTGATTTTCTCGGCTTAGACAATGTTTAGTTTTAAAATTACTTCGCCAATGAACTCATTAGATGCGTCGTTTTTTAAGCTATTTAAAACATTCGCAGTCCGTGTTTTATCAGATATACTCGAGCTGCGCTCTCGTGTTTTATATCTGATAAAGCACTCCTGCTCGTCTTTTAAATAATACATATATACTGTATATATTCAATTGCAGAGCTGCAATGCAAACTTAAAGGATTTCTTATCATGATGATGACTAAAATCTAGTCGAAACGTCGAATAGACACTTTTTAAAATCCTTATTGACACGTTATGTTTTAATGAAATAATGTCGCGTACACGAAAACGAGGCTCTATGGCCAAAATGAAATACTTTCCAGAAGGGTGTATTCTCCGATCCCAGTTGACGTCATCAATTTTTCATCTCACTATCTACAGATCTTGCCAAAAAAGGACCCAAGAATTGAAATCTTATTATTAGCACCCATGAAGATCCGAGGCTCCAAGCTTACGGATCGAAAGTTTTGCAGTAATAAATTTAAGTGGTGTTTCCACAAGTAAAAAGTATTATAATTGAAATTTTCATGCCCAAATTAGTCTATCCCAAAAATTGCACGATGTTTGGACGTGAGTTGGTAAAGTGTTGGTAAAGTGTTGGAAATGTTCGACTAATTTGATCATAACGGTTTCAATTCTGAGGTCCATTTCTACCAAATATGAAGATGAAAAATCGATAACGCGGCTCGGATCGGAGAATAAACCACGCAAATGATGGCAGTGTAAAATTGAGGTTCCATTATCGGTTACAAATAGTGTACCTTATTTCTTTTTCAGCTTTCCTTATTTTCGCGTCTAACTCATCTCCCTCGCGTTGTAACTCTTCTTTCTCTTGAGCTGCTTTGATGACGTAATATGCCTGAGATTTCTCCTCTTCTCCTTCGGGTGGAGCCATGGAGACCATCAAGATCTCGTATCTACGAATATACGTTCAGATGGAGCTTTGAATACTAGTACGACTACGAGCTTATCGTTTGCTACACGGCAAAAAACGCTCAGGTTGATGCAATACTGATGAAAACAGGATTGAACAATGTTTTGCTGCCCACATTGTTCATAGCTGTCAACAATATTGAACAATATTGTTACACCCGATTCAGACTCAACAACATTGTTCAATATTGTTGACAAGTGTGAACAACGTGGGCAGCAAAACATTGTTCAGTCCTGTTGAGGAACGGGCTCGGCGTTTTTTGCCGTGTAGAGAGATAGAGAGGTTCAGATTTGCCTTCCACTACCGCTCGTTGGCTTAGCACGCATCTGATTGGTTAACCGGATATATCAAACGCCTCTGATTGGTAGAAGATCCCTTAATGGTAACGGTAGAGGTAATGGAAGTCAAATCTAAACCTCTCAAATGCTACACAGTCACACTGTTCTCTGGGGTCGGTTGTTTAAAAGCTAGTTAGCTTAATCCTAGGTTAAATCTAAACCTCTCAAATGCTACACAGTCACATTGTTCTCTGGGGTCGGTTGTTTAAAAGCTAGTTAGCTTAATCCTAGGTTAAATCTAAACATCTCAAATGCTACACAGTCACATTGTTCTCTGGGGTCGGTTGTTTAAAAGCTAGTTAGCTTAATCCTAGGTTAAATCTAAACATCTCAAATGCTACACAGTCACATTGTTCTCTGGGGTCGGTTGTTTAAAAGCTAGTTAGCTTAATCCTAGCTTGCGTCTGCTCGAAAGTCGATTGGGTGTCTCTGGGCAGTGTTTGAATTGGTTTCGTTCCTATCTCAGCGACCGTACAACAAGAGTTATTATTGATGGAAAACGTTCAGATATAAAACGTGTAAACTTTGGTGTCCCCCAGGGATCTGTCCTTGGCCCAAAACTTTTTACACTATACATATTGCCACTGGGGGATATTGCACGCAAACACAATGTACAGTTTCATATATATGCTGATGATTGCCAACTATACATATCCTTTAAGTATGAAAATAGATTGGAAACCATCGATAGAATGGAATCTCTGATGCATGACATAAAAACTTGGATGACAAAGAACATGGTGAAGCTCAATGATGATAAAACAAAGTTCCTGGTTTTGACAGGTCCTCGTCGAGACTGCTCTGATTTTCCTTGCTTGTCAATCGAAAACGAAAGTATTGTTAAATCAGAATCAGTAACTCTCCTAGGAGTAGAACTTGATGACAAGCTTACCTTAAAGAGTCATGTTCGTAATGTTGCGAAAAGTTGTTTTTTCAAGCTCCGCAATATGCGTAAGATTAGAAAATGTATTACTGAAGATGCAGCAAAAATAATGGTACACAGTATGATTACATCAAGGCTTGACTATTGTAATGCTATTCTATATGGGTTACCAAATTGTTACTTGGACAGGTTATATAGTGTGCAAAAGCTGGCTGCACGATTAATCACAGGAACAAGAAAGTACGACCATATTACACCGGTATTGGAAAGACTCCACTGGTTACCAGTGAAAAAGAGAATAGAGTACAAAATTCTGTTACTTGTGTTTAAATGTCTCCAAGGAACTGCACCAGAGTACTTATCTGAACTGTTAAAAAAGCGTGAAAACAAAGGCACTAGAGCAGATGACAAAAACCTTTTGGTTATCCCTAGGTTTAAGAAGGTTACCCAAGGTGGACGATGTTTTGGAAGATCTGGCCCAACACTATGGAACAATTTACCAGACAGCTTGAGACTTGAGACGAGTTTTAACATTTTTAAAAGACGTTTAAAAACGCACTTTTTTGAACTTTCTTATAAGTAAATTAGGTCTAGGTCACATTTTTAAACTTTTTAAACTCTTTTACTAGTAAATTAGGTTTTGTCCATATTTTTAATGTGGTATGAATGTAAAGCGCCTTAGAGTACTGTAGATTCGGCGCTACTTCCAGCAGCTTGGTTATGAACTTGGAAATATGTCTTCAGAAATCTTGTTTGGGTGTGGAAAACGGCCATACAGCAATGATGGTAGAAAAGTGGCACGAACGAACCTTATCCTAAGCGTTGTTACTGTCGCCTAACCCGTGCAAACATTTTCTGATGTTGGATTAAAATTATTTTAAAATTTGCACCAACCTTTTCCTCAGTTTTTCGATTTTGGATATACGATCATGAAGCTCCCCGCTAAAAGAATAAAACATACGTCAGTCACTAAACACCCTGCTACACTAGTTACTAAACACCCTGCTACACTAGTTACTAAACACCCTGCTACACTAGTTACTAAACATCCTGCTACGCTAGTTACTAAACACCCTGCTACACTAGTTACTAAACACCCTGCTACACTAGTTACTAAACACCCTGCTACACTAGTCACTAAACACCCTGCTACACTAGTTACTAAACACCCTGCTACACTAGTTACTAAACATCCTGCTACGCTAGTTACTAAACATCCTGCTACACTATAGCTACTAAACACCCTACTACACTAGTTACTAAACACCCTGCTACACTAGTTACTAAACACCCTGCTACACTAGTTACTAAACACCCTGCTACACTAGTTACTAAACACCCTGCTACACTAGTTACTAAACACCCTGCTACACTAGTCACTAAACACCCTGCTACACTAGTTACTAAACACCCTGCTACACTAGTTACTAAACATCCTGCTACGCTAGTTACTAAACATCCTGCTACACTATAGCTACTAAACACCCTGCTACACTAGTTACTAAACACCCTGCTACACTAGTTACTAAACACCGTGTGTTGATTTTATTTTTTTATTTTATTTATTATTAATTTCGCCATATTACAATACACCTTACTATAACAAGAACAAGAGTAATGTACATGACTATAGGCAGGGTGACCGCAACAGCGTGAGCTGATCACTGTGAGCCCGAAAAAATTGATCTGGCATCTTTGATTTATTGATTCTTACCTAACAGTCTGTCTTTCTTCGTTGGCGCTCTTTATTTGAGCACGAAGCATATCTTTATGATCTTTGATCTCCTGGCGTCGCTGATTCATTGACTTGCAAAGAAACAAGCAGCACATATTAGGAAACAACTCGTTAATTATAATTAACTAGTTACGATGTAGGTAGGCAGCTTGAAAGGTGGCCAACTTCACAAATGTTGAAACGTTATAAGAGCAAGGTGAATATCTCTCACTAGTTTCAAATAACCATGACAAGACTACTACATTATTTTTCACTAATTCACCACTGCCAGTTGACCATCATTGGCTGCACAGTGCACAATAATGATATTAATTAAGAGTGAAACTTTTCAACTGTCTGTGCCAGTCTAGGTAATGCCAATATGAATAAAACTTGGTAGGGTTGCAACTACCTGATGCAAAGGCCATTCTTCGGCCCTTCGTTGCTCGAAAAGTTGAATTTCTTGTATTTTTCAGGTAGTTGCATCCTTACCAACGAAAGCTTGTTTCTAGTGAAACCTCGCCTGCATGGCAGGCGGTACGTAGGAAATACCGCCTGCCATGCAGGCTAAGTGAAACCTCGCTTATGAAACCTTCAATAAAATATTTCATCTTCACTTTTCAAAGTCGTCACGTCATTGTAGGATATTGCAATGTACTTACTGCTTCCAATCTCAACTTTCTTTTCTCTAAACTTAAAACATTATCAGCCTTGCCACTCAAGAACTCTCGCAGTCTCTTGATCTCCAGCTTCAAGATATTTTCATCAACCATTGCTTCCTAGAAAATAAACATTAAAATCTATAATTTCTTCAAGATATTTTTATCAACCATTGCTTCCTAGAAAATAAACATTGAAATCTATAATTTAAAGCACTATATTAGAATGTTGGGAGAGCGTGTGAATGATCACACGTAATCATCAAATGTTGCACAATGTTGATGGAAATTTTAAACAAAGTCAAACTCGATCCAACATCTTCCAACAATAGCCAATATAGTGTTCAAACGTTGAACGTTCAACATAGTGTTCAACATGTTGATGTTGGTCTCGTTTCAACTGGCCTTATCTCTTAAAAATATGATGGTAAGATCATGCCCAAGTACGTAAAAGCATATTTTGCAGGAATTATAATATACCAAGTATCAATGGTTCATGCATCTCGTTCGATGAGAGCGTACACGTGAAAGTCATGAAATTCGACTGTCTTCTGGCAGTAGCTCTGACCGATGGACATTAATTTTATCCACAGGTGAATAATAAAATCGTTCAGTTTTCTAGAGCTTTCTAGAAATAGTATGTTTTGTGAATCCTCCACTTTGCTTTGGTAAACATTGGCATGCAGTCTCAGGTCCACAGAACATACTGTTTCCAAGTCCTGTCAATAAGTATTAAGCTTGGGAGTGAAAATCAACAAAAACAACATGTTCAGGAAGATGTGTAAAACTTCTTAACGTGATGTACCTCTTTATTTTTGATAATTTTCTTGAATTCTCTTTGGGAACTGTCATTGTGCAGATCGAGCTCCTCTAAATAAAAGCAACATCTCAGTTTAGTGCTGTCATTGTCGGAGGTGCTTACGTCACGCAATTTCCAATCCATCAAAACATTCTGTATACGCAATGCAATGTGGGATACATGTGATTACTAATAATTACAAATAATCAATGTCTGACTGTGTGCATGGTGATGTAAGGACATCTAAGGTTAATTACAATTTGTGAGACAGTGGCACTACAGAATGAGTGCAGGATGTATTTATATGTATTTACAATAAAACACTTACCAATTTTACTAATAAGGTCCGACTTTTCTTCATCACCGCTCGCTAAGTAACGTTTTTCTCTCCTTAGATCGTCCTAAATAATTCACGAGACTTCGATGAGCTAAACTTTCAAATTATAAAACAACACGTAGATATATGACTGTCATTCAAACAGCCATACTAAGACGTCTACTTACACCAAGTTTTTTCATCTGCGCTGTTAACAAAGCATGAACTGAATTTTGTTCTTCTAGTTGACTGGATAATTCCTAAAATTGACGACAATAACATATAAGAAATGAACTTAATGAGGGCAGAGGTATATCCAGCGATATTATATTGCTATACTGACCACGTACTGGTTCAAGGGCCTGAAAACGCTAGAATATATACTGTAGAGTTAGGGCATGTTAAGAACTCTACCTTTTCACAAGTCAAATGTAATCATAATTTGTCTGGGGCCGGTTGTTCAAAGCTGGGTTAGTTTAACCTAACATAAAATTCAAAGCAAACTTCCTCACAGCTTGTCTATAAATTTGGAAATATTTCTTCAGAGATCTTGTCTTGATCGATAGGAGTTTACTTCTCTGAAGTTTTGAAATAAACGGGCGTGCAGAAATACACAAACTAAAACACCCACCCACCTTTGAACTGGCCACTGGTGCCTAAAACGACTGATTTAGCTCAATGTCGTTAGATTTAACTATTTAGGTCATGAATGTTCGACAAAAAGACGCCTTAACTATCAGGAATGATAACGATGTCTAACCTAATGCCTTCCCAACTTTATACCTTCCACTAGTCCTTTTTCAAAAAATACAGACAATTCGCTCTATACTGTACGTTGAAGACCGCCAAACTCTGAAAGACAACTCAGCTCAACTTTTATCCTACCTTAATTTTTTCTTCCAGAAGTTGTTTTTCTTCATTGCTTCTCTCTCCTTGCATCCGCATAAATTTTCTCTCGAGCTGCTGAATCTGAAAGTCCTATTTGTCGAAACAGAAAGAATGTTATCATATTGGGATCATGGTGTAAATAAAGTAGGTTAGAAGCAGACAATTGTGTATAATATAGAAATGTCTTAGATGAGCAAGTAAACTCATCTCTCAATTCTGTTTATTGGTCACCAAATACCATTTATTAAGAGTACTACATATAATGAAGAGAATAAGCCTTTCGCACGCAGACGCATATCCGCCATTTGTGGGATAGTGTCTTCCCACCTCAGAGAATATGGACATGAATCTAAACAACGTGAAAAGCGACTTTTCCAAGTTATAACTGTATGCCAACTGTAATTTTACCATTATAAACACAACCACAGTGAGAAAAATTCCGCGGTGCGTCCCCCCTTAAGCTCATTTCCACTATTTTTCATGGAACAATCACATTGCCAAGATTTGTTTTTCGCTTCGTTTAGCAAATTCGCGTAGTGGAGAATGGGCTTTAGAAGAGGCAGCACCCCAAAATGGTTGGCCAGGTTTGTACGAGTATACTTTTACCTGCATGTAAAGGATTTCTTGTTGTTTCAGAGAGTCTTGATCCAATTTATGCAGCTTACTGCTTAGATTTCTTGACGCAGCTCTGGATCCCTGTAGGGAACGCAACAAATGTTGTAACGACGTTTCAGACAAACCACGGTTAGAAGAAACACACATTATCATTCTGTTTATATGTAACAAGTATACTATATAATGTACCTGAATTTCTGCAGATGTATTCTGTTCCTTCATTTTACAGGTGTGTAGTTCTTCAGTTTTGCGAAACTAAAATACAAAAAGGAAATATTTTAAACAAAAGGGTCGGTAGACTTTGTCATAGTGATTGTCCTCATTTAGCTAGGGCAAGCAATAGACCCTTTGCACATGACGTCACAGCGCCGGTGACGATACTTCTGGGGCCGGATGTACGAAGGCCGGATAGCGCTATCCACCGGATAGTGATTTTTTCAAGCTTTGTTAAATCAGTCGTTGATTGGTATAACTCGTATTAAAGTTTAGTATTTATAAGTTAAATGTTTTTTATACTTCTTGTGTCGTCTATATCCGTAGTTTCACAGTTTTTCAAGCATTTTACAAAGGTTGAAAAAATCACTATTGGGTGGATAGCGCTATCCGACCTTCGTACAACCGGCCCCAGGAGGACAAATGAGCAATCTATCCATAATATAACTTTTGTAAACAAAGCAAATTTTGTAAAACTATAATTATTTTGTATTAAAATGGTTAATTTTTGCGCTGTATGTGGTTGTTGTAGGACACTCTAAAGATTTGTGACGTCAGTGCAATGGGTCTATTTACCAGAAACGCAACTGCATTAGCTCTTGTAGTTATTCTGGATCTCACGCATGCCTCTTCCACAGGCTCTAATTATGGCACATATCAGTGGCATATATAGATCAGTAGTTGGGAAAATAATTGAACTTTGTGATGCATGATGCCTTCCCATCATTCGTAACGCGCCTGCAATCAACTCATTGATGCTCTCCTCCCTGAATTCATATAAAGCAAGTGGGGACGAGGAAGACGACATAGACGGGCTGTGGTGAAAGTGATGAGTCGAACCTGTATTTCACGAAGTCTTGCTAATTCTTTTTCAACTTGTTGTATTCTGGCTTGCTCTTCTTTCAGTAATTGTTCCATCGCAAATGCTCGTTCTTCTGCCGTCATAGTGGATTCTATTGTTTCTTTTAATCTCAGATTCAACATGTCACGCTCATTTTGAACGTCTGAAAGTCTACAAAGATCACGAAAACGAAATGTTACTACATCAGATTTCGAGCTCCGCGATTACCAATCTATTACTATTTTTACGCATGGATATGACTTTATTGCAACGTATTACAAACTTTACTATTTTAATGTCTAGACTGCCATACATGTGAACTTACTTTTCTTGCCGTGTTCTGACCTCCTTCTTGAGAGTATTAGATTTATCACGAGCGTTATTGAGATCTTTACCAGTTCTATCCACAGAATACTTGAGTGTCTCAAGCTACATGGAACACAGACAAGGTTCATAATAATATACAAATGGAATCTTTATATGAACTGGTATTCACGTATCTACACTGGATATATCCATGATCCATATTTGGTGTGTTCACACAATGACACTTAAAACCCAGTCTAGTTGAACCCAGCCCTAGGAGCGGAACATGCATACTGGGAACAGCATAGAACTGTAGATGGCTAGGGATTCAACTTCCTGAAAAATACAAGAACAATTTCGACATTTCCAGCGAAATTTTCCTTGTATTTTTCAGGGAGTTGAATCCCTGCTCATCACAGTTTTCTTCAGTTTTTGGCGCTAGCTACGCTGGCACAGATCGTTCAAGTTAACTGAGAACAGGGGAAATATCAGGATTTGGGATTTTTTCGATAGAACTAATTGTAGATAAGTGAAAAGTGGTTATTTTTCACGCGCGTAATACAAATCTATACAAAATTTGCGAACTTCACAGGGCTATATTTTCCTCATTTTACAACATTTCGCAACCAAACTTTGCAATTTTACTAATTTTAACATGCTCTTTCTAGCTGTGGTGATGTATTTTGTTCTTCTTGCCTAGATCAAAATCTAGTCTATAGCTGGAATTGCCTATTGTAGATTAGACCTGACCAGGAGCAGTTGCGAAAAATACAACTTTGGGCGCTCTGGTAGAAATCAAACCTGCAATTCCACAACCTCAAAACCTGCAGTCCTTTGCAGTTGCTTTCAGTCTTCGGGTTTGAATTTGATTCACTCCTTTGGGATTTAAAAATGTTGAATTGAGTGTACCTCATCTTGGAAACGAACTCTATCATTCTCAGCATCTTGATAGTGTAGACGTAGTTTTGCAGACTGTCTTTCGGAATTCGACACTTTCTTCTCTTTTTCAGCGTTATTATTCAATTCATTGTCAAGAAAATTCTACAAAATGACATAACGAGGTAATTGGAAAAATTACATTTCATATAGTTGAACCTCTCTAATTTAGTTAATTCGTTACTGCAAACAGAAAATTTCTCACTTTAATCACCTGATCAGGTTAGATCGTATTTGTTCTATGTGAGTCTGTTGTCCGTACTAGAAAGGGTCTGTATTTTACGACATTACTACCACAACCACGTCATGGACATTACCACTAACGGACATTTCAATACATCAATTATAAGCTTTGACACATGTTGGGATATGCTGGCAGAGCTTCTAGAAATTTTATTCCTAGAAATCGTCAGGATAAGCTGTCAATGTCAAAGTGGAATCTTTATAGGCACACCCTCACCTGTCTATCTTGAATTAAATCCTCTTTTGATCTTACTTCCAGTCGGAATTCAGCAAGTCTCTACATAATATCACATGGTACGTTTACTCGTTAAGTATAACATTTTCACAATACTTCCAGAATGTACGTCATCTTGGCCATAGAGCCTCGTTTTCGTGACTGACACATTATGCTAATGTCGCGTACACGAAAATGAGGCTGTATAGCCAAAGTGACGTTCTTGCTGGAAGGGTATATTGCTACGGACAACAACTATGTGGGACAAAGTAAAACTACATATTATATAAAAGTCTTCGTCTTCCCTTTTAAAAAACTGGCGAAACTAAATAAAACAATCGAAAGAGCTGGAGTAACCGCGAAAATAAAGGTCAGTTTTGCAGTGGGTTTAATTTTTCACGCTCCCATTTTCATTGAAGTTCGAATCTCTCCCGAGTTCAAAGAAATGTGAAGAAAACAAAGTTTAGACGGAGTAGAGATGTTCCCATCCGTTCATTATCGTAATCGATTAATCGTCATCAACAATCGATTAAATCGATTAATCATCCACAGTGGTCAGCGTCGCTTCCAAGAAGGGGGCGTGTCCTTACGTTTTTACTTGATGGCCAATGGGAGCGCTAAGTGGTAGCAGAGAAATAAACAAAAACAAGTCGTGTTTGTCATTTGATCACATCGTAATTATTTCAGTTGGGAAAGAAAGTTATCCACTCGGCAGGTGTCATGCTATACAAAGCTATTTTGTTGCTTCGATTATCACGGTGTATTTTGTTGATTGCTAAAAATACAAAAAATAAGACTGAGTAGTGGAAACTCTGCCTTCCAACCTTTCTTCATTTATGTTAGTTTCCTCTTCTTATCACTTTTTTTTCCAAAACCTTTACTTCGCGAAGCACAAATGTCAAATGGTAAATAACTGCTACACTATATACACTTCTGCATTTTTCATCGTCGTGTTTGATCATTAGGCTTTTAATTTACATACCACAGCCAACTGATCCATTTCTCTGTCACGTTTCTGCATCTGTTCAATAGTACTCTCCCATTGCTCGAGAAGTTCTTGACGTTCTGCGTGGATCTTACGAAATTCTTCAGCTGTTTTATCCAACTCAACCTAAACATTGAAGCATTTGAAACACGCATTAAGAAAACTGAGTGTTGGTCAGATTATTTTATTATAAAGCAGTGAGAGAGGCTGATGATGATCCCGGACGGTCAGTGTAGTAGACAAAGTTAATATTCAATTGTTTTGTTATCGGAAAAACTCCAATATTACCATATACTGTATGGTACATGCAAACAGGAAAGTCTTAGAGGTTTATATTATGCAGAGTGATAATTTAGAAACACATATAATAAAAGTAGAAATATTATAGTAGAGAAATGAGCGTAAGGAAATGTTAACAGGACACGACACATCATTGATCATCTATACCTTACCTGTGCAGTTGAAGTACGACTTAATTCATGTTCCAGATCTCGACGTTTCTTTTGACTTTCTTCTGTCATCTTTTCTGTTTTCAACGACAGTGACTAAAGAAAAAGTGACTGGTGATCACAGTGTCCTGCTGGTGACTTAACTCCTACATGGCAAACTAGCAAACATTGTCATGTTCTGACATCATGTTCTGAATTGTCGGGAAAACGTTTTGCTTCCTGGAAAGCAATTGTCGTTTCCGCAACAAGCATGGACAAAACATTCGAAGAAACATCGAAATATTCAAATGATACGGCAAAATATTTCCAAGGGTGAGCTGGGTCAAATCAAGTGTAAAAAAAACTAACAAGTAAGAAATAAATCCCCAAAAGAATTAAGATTAATAGTAATGCAAAGTTTCACCATGCACATTCAAATGAATATGGCATGGATGAACAGGTATGGGTATTGAAAGTTTCATTAAATGTTACTTCATCAGAACGAGTATAAGTCTCAAGAATCAAAGCTTCTTACTTCTTAACTTTGTCTCAAATACTTGTTATACTATTAATAACTATAATTATGAATACTCTACCTTAACTTTACTTTCATCAGATCGAGTGTATTTCTCAAGAATCAAAGCATCTTCGTCCCTTCTTGCAGATTCTTCTAACCAAGCTTCTAAAGCTTTCTGATCCCAGTTCATTTGAGATTTTAGTTCCTCCAATTGTTTTGTCTTCGTAAATATGTTGTTCTAAATAATTGATTAACATCATGTCACATTTCAACCCCATTCAAATACTTAAGCCAGCATAATTTAAAGTACTAAAAGTAGGTAAAAATTTGGCAAGAAAGATCACAAGAACTGTCCAAAGGATCAGTTCGATTTGAGGTGCCTAGAAAAAATACCGAGATCCAATTAAACTGTTACGGAATGCATATATTATACTTTTGCTCAATTAAAAAATAAAAAATGTAAAATTACTAATTGGCAATAGCCGTTCTAATGCACAAAAACTTTAGTTCTTTCTTGATTCTTTAATCTAATATATAGGTCGCTCATTTGTCATATAAATGCGTCAACGGAGAATATATACCTCTGCGATGTTTCTCCGACTATCCAGTTCATTCAAGTCATTTTGTATTCGCTTCATTTCATTACGCAATCTTCCTTCTTCTCGTTCAGCTAGACATAAAGTATAAAAAGTATTGATCTGATGAAATTTCGTGGCGAAAATATGCTCACGTTTGACTTAGCGTGACTGAATAGCACCTGTGAGAGAGCGGGGCTCAAGGAAAGCCTCCCACGAACAGAGCTTAACTATACGCTTCAAAGACGTCTGCAAAAGAGATCTGACGGCCATCTAGGAGGCAAACAGTGAGGAAATATTCAACACTGCGGCCAACGCTGGAACTCCATGCACATCATTCTTCTAACTTTCAAACAGACGCTTAGCAAGCAGTCGGAAAGCAACAAGATAGAGACAGACGGCACAAAACCTGACGCTCGCTCTGACTAAACGCTGAGAGACCATCGTGAGATGGCAAGTGCGGTACCTATACAGATAATGACTTACCAACTTGTTTGAGATGATCTTCAGTGTTAATCTCACGTTTTCTTGCATTAAGGAGTTCCTATCATGAATGAAGAGAGAACGTACAAAAACGTTGGAGTGCTATTAGGGCTCCTAATGACAACAGTTAACATTGTAACTGATTGGATTACCCTATTTAAATAAAAGTTTCTATCTAAAGCAACAAAAGTTGAGTCCTATGGCATAACTGAAGTGGCCCACATCAGACATCAATTATGTTGTAATATTATTATATCGTGTTTAACTCATTCTATCAATAATTCATGGAGTTATTGATCAGCTTTTTTCAAAATCAGTAACCAATTCAGACTATTTGTAATTTTAAAAAATGTGCAATTTAAACTGTTTTTTAATGTGCAATTTAAATACAGCATAATAGAATTGAATATTAAATAACTTCATTAAATGACTAGACTAATTATCAAGTTTTTAGTACTTTTTACGAAGTAAAATTTAAGCTTCTTTAAGATCATCAAACGTTCCACGCAACAACACTATATTCCAATAGCAAATTTACTTTAATTGCCTATAACATTCACGTAAAGTCATGATACACAGCACTATTCAACACATTGAGTATTTGAATAGACATTATTTCTGTTGTGGATATACAGACTATGCCCAGATACTTGCGTGTTTCGAAAACGAAAACAGACTACCTAAGGTGGATCTTCGTTTTTGACTCACGGATGTTGCGAAGCCAGTCTTTACATGGGGTTTGCATGAGTGTGGGGCAGTTAAACTATGGGAAATGACCAGCCTGCTTTGCGCGCACTGTTTGCCTGCGAATCGGGCCTTTCAGAACCGGAACTGTATCGGGCTAGAGCACGCGTTCGTTCTTTTGATTTGGCGAAAGCACGACAAATGGCAAAATTCGCACGGTCCTCGTTTGCACAAACAACTGCAAACTGCTCTAATTCTTTCTGTCACTTTCATTTGATTTCATCCGTGAGTCGGCCTCAACGGCCTTTCATTTATAATCACGAAAACAAAGACACATCTTCGCTTCAACCTCGTCAGTTGTCTACGCTTTCGTATTTCGAAAACAACGACACACAGGTACTCTCTTCGTGATTAAAAAAAAATAAGTACAAAAATTTTTCGATAAATTATAGATGGGTGAGCATAAAAGAAAAAGTATTGTTAGCAATAATAAAGAACCCCCATGCACATACTTTTTGCTTTTACTTAATAGAAATAACTGTTACAAAGTGATGTACAAAAAACGTTTCGTTTGAAAACCTAAATTATCTGAATTTCATCAGATCACTGTCTATTAACACTATATACCGACGGAGTATTAAATTTTCGCGCGCTGGACATGACTTTTTTCCAATTAGCAGTGACACGTACTACTACATATTTGTAGAGAAAATTGTGTGAAATTATCGCTTGTGAAATAAGGAATCGTGCCTTTAAACGATGCAGAACAACATGAAGAAAGTAATTTAGAAATTTGAGTTTATTGTGTGCATTAACAGCATTATTCTCAATGGTAGAGCGTTGCCTTAAACGCACAAGACCGTTAACCCTCCAATCGTTTCCTTTCACACACTAATATGCTTATTTTTTGTGAATCGCGAAAAGAACGTGTCTGAATCATTTTGACATAAGCTTTTGTTCTCGTCACGTGAATTAATGAACTTCAAAATGGATCTTAAAGTTTTTTTTCGTATAAAAGTGAAGATGGATCGTTTGTTTTCATAATTTCGAAAAACGAACTAACTAAAGATCCATGATCTCAGGTTTTGTTCTTCGTTTTCGTAACACCCAAAGATCCTTCCCTGATCAATGTTGAAAAGAACTACTGTAGGTGATACAAGGGAAAAGTTCATTTTATCCATAACTCTGTTACAGTTTCTTATAATTTAATAATATGTTATATGCTATTTGTAATTAGTTTTTGAAAATCCATTTTTGGATAAACAATCATTCATTTTATAATTTAATTACAATAATAACTACATTCTTCCAGTTGGAATCAGAAGTGGGTTTATTTAACCACTAAATATTCATATGGGTATCTAATTAAAATTTATGATGTATGTAAATGATGTGAGCATTCTGGCCAGAACTAACTGGTTGGAACAGAGTAGATATGCACCTACACCAGACACAGGATTTTAGAGACAGGCTGGTTATAAGAG